GATCCACGGCACCTCCGGCAGCTGCTGCTCGCCTCGGCCCAAGGCCGCAGGATGGCCGCAGGGCCCATTTTCAGGGCCGGCCCTGTTCGAGGCTGCGGCGCTTGAGCCTCGAGCTGTTCATCCCCGTCAGAGCCGAGAATCCGCTGCTTCACCTCAGCATGGCATGAGGCAACGCATGGTAACGCAGCCTTGGGCCGCAAATCCTCACGGCATCTCGAGGCCTGCTCCTTCGCTGTGGCGACCAGCGAACTGCTCTGCCTGAGACCCAGCCACCCCTTGCCTCTAAGAGGCATGACCGAAGATCTCTAGTGCATCGAGCAGCTGATTTGCGACTGGACCCATTCCATGAGGTCCCGACTCGCGGACTTTGCCAAGAGCATCATTGAGCCACGGCATCAATCATGGCTGGGGCTGAAGATGATCTGACTGCGCAAGTGCATTCCACAGGCCAAGATATGTCGTGGGTATGCCACGTGTTCGTAGGCAAACCTTCTGACATGCAAGTGACATGTCGGACAGCTACAACTGCAACATGTGCTGACCTGCGGCCGGCATGCAGCGTCATGACACGACATTGCTGCGCAGCCAACTATTGCTCCAAGAGTCGCAATGCTTTTCTCCTGACAGTCTCAAAGCTCAGAAGAGGCCTGCCGGTTCGATTCAATCGATTCCTTCATGAACCTGAGGTGCATGACTCTGCATGGATGGTTTGCATCTGCAGATGCATCTCAGACCGGGACTGGGCAAGGACTTTCTCCGTTGGCTCTTCTTTTGCGAAAGACTTGGTGAAGGTTCTGAAAGGCTTCGCCAAAAGTTTGAGCGTGACGGAGGGGAATTCCTCCGAGACATGGCAAGACAGTAGCAGGTCATGAGGCCTCGGGTTTACTACGCTTCAGCTTCCTTGCAGTCCATCTGCAGAAGCTTGGCTACAGGATCACGCACGTTGAAGAAGACAAACCCGTAGGATTTCCACTTCTTGGCAACTTTCTGAAATGCGCGAGCATACCTGTCGAGGCAGACTGGTGACTTGTCGAAAATCTGCATGGCTTGGAAAGCGCTGGCGCACTTCTTCGCCTGGGTCTCGAAGGCTTCTGGGTCGAAGCACACAAAGACATTGCCCTCAACAAAGTAAAAGCTAGGTATGCGTGTGTGTGAGAGGGAGAATTCATGTGTGTGTGTGTGCATGCATGCGCAGTTCAGCAGTTGGTCAGGCCTTGGAACCTTTGCCAAAGACACTCGCTAGGTCGTCCATCGTCGCCTATTGATGCAAAGATCTGACTCAGTTGGTAAGTGTGGAACGCTAAAGCACCGAACGATCATGGAAGCCAAGTCCAAGGCCATCCCAAACAACGGCCTGGACGCCACATCCGCGACAGACGCATGATTGAATCTTGCGTCACTAGTCACCAGTCAAAATTCCGAGGGTCAGACAAATGCTCAGTCTTCAAGAACTCCTCGAGCATTTCCGTGCTTACTTGCCCGGAAGCGTCGAAGTGCTCCTGAACGATGTCGAAGCTAAACGCTGCTTTCTCGGAAAACTGTGACTCTCGGTGCATCCAAGCGGTTCCATCTCATTCACTCCGCGATACACCGCACCGAAGGGCCTGCTTCCAAAGCTGGAACGAGCACATTCATAAGCAGTCAGATGCCCTTCCGTCGAATCCGGCCTTCCTCTTCCACCATCCGACCAGAATAGGAATCTCATCCTGCACTTGAGATAGTCGCTGGTCCTCCCTGCTGCAGAGCAAACTGCAGCTGGCCTGCTGGCCCAGCCATCGCTGTGCCCCTTTACTGCTGCGGAATCCATCAAGTCCTGAGTGCATCACCGCAATCACAGACCTGTTAAGCGGCTGGAAGTTGGAACCAGACAAAGTCCTGTAGCATGGGTCCACCGGTGGCTGCAAACATGGTTTCGGTCCACTTCCGGCTCCGGACAGCTTTGTCGAACGAAGCCTGCGTCTCCTCAGCTAATGCTCAGACGAGTAGGAATAGGACTAACAACGAAGAAGACGACGACAACCGAAGCCATGAAAAGAAAACGAAGGAGGACCACATAAGAGAAGGACGGGCCACGACCATGGCCACGGCCACAGCCGCGACCTCGAAGACCAACAACGACCACCACCACCACCACCAGCACCACCACCACCAGCACCACCAGCAACAGCACCACCAGTAACAGCAACAATCATAACCGCGACCATAATGCCGAGGAGAAGCGCGAGCACAAGCGCAACTGTAAACACAACCGTAGCCCAAACAACAGAACCAAATTACCCCAATGACGGCATGACCACAACCATTAGACTACACATCCACAACCCAAGATCACAGTTCCCGCAAAAGGTACGACAGTACGACAACCAAAACCAAACCACTGCCCCTGCAACAACCAAAAGCACCACAACTGCAGCGAAGAGGAGGACGACGAGCACAAACAAAAAGCATCCTTTCAGGCAGCCCGGCAGCCCAGCTTCTTCAAGGTATTTTTGCTTCTACACATAAGTTTCAACAAAGCTGCGAAAACCTCCACTTGCGGAATATCCACCGCAGCCACCTCGTCGCTTCGCACGCGGACTGCTCGGAGCATCTCAGAGCAACCGCCTCTTGTATTCTCCAAGCCACCCACTGCTCAATGCTGGCTGAAGACTGGAATCCTTCGAGCTTGGAGAGGGCTTGCCCTTTGCGGAAGAGATGCATGCTCGGAATACCTGCAAGCAAAAGCAGTTGAGATGTGCCTGGTCAGAGGAATATGTGTCAGATGCTTCCAGAGGACTGGTCACGTTGTGGACATCCTTGAGGTTCACGTTCACAGCTAGGTCTGTGTCCACGACTCCACACAGAAAGCCCTTCTTCTTCAGCTTCTTTGCTGCCTTTCGTGTGCCCCATTCCAGACTGTGCTAACTGAGAAATGCATCCAAAACCTTCTTGAATTCCGGTTGGAGCTCCGAACAGGGCTTGCAAGATGTGCGCAGCCTCGGTCGACAAGTCACGAGATAGCGATAACCGGATACCGCAAAATCGAATCATCTAGTTTTGTGACTTGTCTCTGACCTGTCGGACAGAGGCCTTGGCGACGTGAAGCTCACCACGACGGACTTGGTACCGTTGATGGTCTCCAGGAATGCCTCTCCGGTAGAAAGGTCGAGCGGACTACAATAGCAGCCTCACACCCGGGAGGGGGAGACACTGCGAGCATCTAAACGGTCTGGACCCACACGAAATGGATGCAGATGATAGAGAACGTAGGACGAGACAAGGCAAGGGGGGCTGTTGCTTGCCTAATTCGTCTCAGACTGCTCTTGCTGTAAGCCAGCATCTTGGAGCGCTGTCGGTGGGCCTTGCCATTCCCCGCTCTACGTAAGATTCTGCAGATTCCGCTGTCAACTCCGTTCGGGGCTCATGTTAGCCAATCGCCATCAATCTCCCCATACTTTTCAAGCTTTCGGATTTCGCTGCAACCCCTTGAGCATCGTTTAGCGCAGGCCGCTCCTGTTCGCATTTAGGGCCTGTTTTAGGGCTTGTCACTCATATTCTCCACGAAGCCATAAGCACACAGGGGGGGGGCCAAAAGGATTGCCGCTGTCAACTTTTTTCGGTGTCGCAACCGCCCACCACCAGCACCCCGCCCCGATCCTCTCGTCTCAGGCTCGGCCATCCCGCAGAAGTTGCTGTTCCTTGTCATCCCTGAAGCTTTGCTCCTGTTCCCGTTTCCCACTGTCAAGTCCGTGCAGGATGTATCGCTTCCCACTGAAGGACTGGGGGCTTGCCACTCCTAACTCTAGCTGGAACTTCAAACTTTGTTCCCACCCACAGTCTTCTTTGGATGTTGGGTTCGCCTCCAGGTTCAGGGCCCGCGCGGGAGGGCGAGACACACTGCTGCGCATGGGGCCTTTCAGAGATTCGGCCCTTGCAACTCAGGCAGATTTTCGATTGAGGGGCGGTTCCAAGTGTTCCAGGCTTGCACCTTTCGGAAGTTCGGCAAGGTTGAAGAGTGGCCAATCCTCAGATTGAACACTCCTCCAGCTAGAGTGATCAAATCTTGGTCACCACTGACGACCACTCGAACAAGTTGCAAGAGGAAGGACGGGGAGAGGTTATGAGGCCCGCAAACCGCTGAAGTAGGTTCTTGCTACTGGAGTATACTGGAGTCTTTCCGGGTGCAGCTCCGCAGTTGCTGGAAGGCAATCACAAAGCAGGGTCCAACATTTCTCTCGGCTTGTCGTTGCGCGCCAGGGTGGTCAACGAGCATGAGTGCATCAGCATACCCTAACCCAGTGACTTGGAAATGGGTACATGGTGCGCAGGGTACAGGCGGTCCTTCTCGCCCTTCCGGCCATCAGGATTCCCAGCTGTCAGGGTGACAGGCAGCTGCTTTTTGCCAAGCAGGCACAAAGGCAGCAGAACAGCAAGCCATGGCAGCATCCTGTGCCCAAGCCCATGTTATACTGCCTTATGCCTCTAATCGCCTAGCTCGCGTTAGCTTGGGACCCAAAGGCTAGAGGTCCTAGACTAGCTGCATGAAGCTTGCATCTCCCTGTCTGGAGGATCGAATCCGCTCTACGTCAGTCAAGTTCCCCGGAGCTACAGGCGCCCTGCGAAAGGCAACTCAGGTCATCCCAGGCTCCTAAGGCTACGGGATGCGGCTGCAAGATTGAATCGCACTGTCACAAGCTGCGCTGCTCGTGGAGATGCACAGAGCGGCACAAGAAGGCCCCTGTCCAAACGGCTGCATTTTTTACTTGGACTCTTTTGTTCACGTCTGTGGCCAGTCGCGCTACCGATGAGGAAAATGGACGGGGGCAGCGAAGATCAAGACGCCCTAGCTACAGCATGGACGGCCTGTTGAAAAGCACGGCCTGCCAGAATGAGGGACCTACCATACTCTGCTGCACGCTGCTGCACGACGGGTCTACAGTAGCATTCTGACAGGACCATGGATGCTAATCTGCATCTTGGACAACGAACCTGCTGACACGATACAAGACGCCGTCAGTCAATCACTTCTTCGGCGTCATGACAGCGGAAGCTGCCTTCTCGACCAACTGCTTTGCATTGGATGCGGCATCTGGCGGTATGGAAGACTTCACCGTGTCGGCTAACTTGCCGGCAGCCTGTTCAACTGCTGATCCAGGGATGTTGGAAACCCCTTCGGCGAGGTCTGATGCAACACCCAGTGTAGCCTGTGCAATCGGAGTCACCACTGACACGGCTTGCCCAACGCCTGATGTCACCTGTGGAGCTGCGTCAGCTGTGGCATCCAGCACCTTGGCAGTGTTTGACAGCACCCCCGGTGCAGCTTCCACCAGTGCTCGAAGAACAGAATTCGATGGTGGCGTCTCCGAACCTGGAAGTCCTTCTGTGGCCAGACTTCGAGCTCCTGAAGCTGCGTCGCGCAGCGCAGACTGTGCCACCGGCAAGCCCTTTTCCACCGCCTTGCCCAAAGCCTCCTCTGCCGCCGGCAAGTTCTGCGATGCGAAATCCAAGCCCACGGAGCCGGCCCGAAGTCCCGCTTTCAGGACCTCTCCCGCGAAGCGCGCTGCTGCGGGCAGAGCATCCTTCTCGATCTTCTCTGGGGCATTCTCCGGTGTAATGCTTGAGACCCAATTGAAGGCGGATTCAGCCACCGGCAGCTCTTCTTCCACCAAGGACTCGGCAGCGGGGAGCTCCTCAATGCTAGAAACTTCGACGGTTCTTAAAGTCTTAACCTTTTGGCATTCAGTACAGTACTGCTACAAGTGGATACTTCCTAACGAGCGGTGTCGGCCGTCTTGAAGGCTTCAATGTTTCCGTAATCTCCCTGGTCTTTCGTTCTCCGAATCAATTGGACACGTTTCTTCGCGTTTCTTTCGCCCACGGTGAAATGAAGACACCATGGTCGAATCTCCACAGAGACCCCCTTTCCATAACAGACCACGATGTCAATTGTGGCGCTGAAGAGCACTTCGATAAGATGTGCAGTCGTCCTGCAGCATTTGCTTCGCTGTTCACCGTCACCATTTCTCCGCAGCAGTTCAACGAAAAGACTGTCTTCCTCACCGGCCGGTTATCCCGTCTGATGCCGAGCCGATCGAATCTTTCGCAAGCTGCCTTCTTGACTTCTGCATGGACTATTTCCAAGGTTACTATTGAGGATCTGGACTTCCATTGATCCAATGCCTTGGCTCCTTGGAGGGAGACTCTTTAGAAGACTGCCACTGGCTCGGTGCTGCTAGCTTCCTTTCAGAATATATGGCAGGTTCACACTTCCCTTCCCATCTGCTTGCATTCTGTGAAATTTCTGCAACCCCTTGCCAGCTACGGGCCACACACATTCCACACATAGGAATGTTTAGCGACAAGTGAAGCCATGTCTCGACACCTACACCTCGAGCTTGGATTCTGCATGATGGCACCATGTTCAGTCTCTGCAGCTATGGTGGTAATAGCGGAAACGGTGCCCGATCACTTCTGTCTTTTTATTGTGTCACTTGTGTCGTTGTTTCCTGTGTCGCTTGTGTCTTTCTTTTCTGTGTCACCTGTGTCTTTTTGCTTCTTGCGAAACAACACTCTCGAGGGAAAACCCTTTCTGCCAGCCGTCCACGGCGGTGGACCCCGAAACCGTAAAAGAAGTAAAAGGTAAGCTTGAAATAAAGCCGAAATCCTAAACGGACTAAACCCAGGCCCAAGCCCTAAAAGGAGCAAGCCCAGACCGAAACCCTAATGAAAGCAGGCTCAAACCCTGGAAGCTGTTTTGCCAGCCGTGGACGGCTAGCAAAAAAGGGCTTTCGCTCCAGAGTGTTGTTCCGCAAGAAGTAAAAAGACACAGGTGACACAGAAAAGAATGACACACGTGACACAAAAAAAGGACACGGTGACTGCCCTTCCTAGCGGAAATCCACGCATGAAATACGAAACGGAAAGTCAGCAGTTACAAGCCCATCGCAACGCCGTCCTCAGCCACAGATTTCAGCGTGTCTCTGGCAGACTTGGCCAGGCTGCGTGCCCAGGGCAAGTCCTGCTTTGTCGGCGGAGCGGGCGCAGGTGCTGGAGCGGGTCTCACTGGCACTGGCGCGGCTGGCACGGCAGCAGGGGTTTCTGCCTTCAGGCTGGGCTGGGCTTTTGACAGCACCACAGGAGCTGCCTGGCGCACCGGGGCCGGACGGGGCTCCGGAGCCGGGCGCCCAAACATCAAGGCAGCAAGCACCACCACCAAAGCAGCAGCAGAGGCTGGAACCAGGATCGGAGCTTCGGCTGCAGAGTCCAAGCCGGAGGCTACAAAGCCCAAAGCCAACTCTTTGGCACGTGCCGCTGCGCTTTCCTTGCCAGGTTTCGCGGCATCCTTCGCAGCCTCTGCTGCCATTTCTCGAGCTTGCTTGGCATACTCGGCCCAGTCAATCATCGAGTCTTCCGATCCCTGTGCACTTTCAAGCCTTCGCTTCTTCTCCGCTACACGCTCTTTGGTTTCTGCGGTCTTGCGAGCTGCTCTGGACTCCTTGCTTTCTTCTGCTCCGAAATCCTGTTTCAGCTCTGTCTCGAGAGCTCCTTCTGTTGAGTTTGACAGCTTCAGTTCCTCGGCGACCGGCGGGTCTTTCGCCAAGACATTTGTCTTTGCATCAGGCTGGGCTCTTCTCACGACACGGCTCACGCCACCCGTGAAGTCCCATGCCAGCAGACCTAGCTGGTAGAGCACTGCAAGGCAGACCAGGCTGCGACGAGCTCCCACTACACGCTTCGCCATGGGACGAGCCGTCGATCACTACAAAAAGCGGCACACTTTCCGAAGCCAAACGGCTGAAGGTGGAGTGCGAGCTAAGCTAGTCATGCTAGTCAGCATTCATGCCGTCCTTGCGTCTGCAGCTAGGCTTTGCCCCGGCGGCTGGCACGCGACCCCGGAGGACCAGGAGGTGAAACGCTTCCTTCTTTCGGAAGCCGAGGTAAAGGCGGGTCGAGCCGGCTCAGCCGGCTCTGGGAGGAGCCGAGCCATCCGGTGGTCAGAGCCGATCAAAAGAACTTGGCTCTTTGCACGGCGTGCACAAACTCATCTTCATCCACGCAGCCGTCACCGTTGTCATCGGCCTCAAGCCAGACCCTGCCAATGCACTGCAACGCCGCCGTAAACAGCTAAGTCCCCCTCGTCTTCCAGCATCTCTTGAATCTCGTGGTCGGCAAAAGTGAGTCCCAGGTCGTCTGCCAGAGCCCTGGAAGCATCGAATTCGCTGAAACGCCGGAATCGCCCTGTGCGGCCAGGACGCCTAAGGCTGTGCCAGGTGATGGTCTGACTCCTCCGCGTGTATGGAACAGCAGACCACGACAACGCAAAACTAACATTGCACTCGGTCCCTTCAGACACGAAGAGAGGAAAAGCCTGACGGGGATGCAGCACAAGCTTCATCTGGATGGCTGGAAAGCAAGGCAGGTTTGCAGACGATCTGATTGTTGTTTGCAACCCGGCCTTTCTGATGACTGCCGTGGGCTCCCGCGCCCTTTCTTGCCAGCTGGGCTCTAGACTGGGGCTCTTGATGCGCATGCCTGCAGAATTTGGGGTGCCCGCAGCACTTTTGGCGCCATCATCTGCAAGAATTCATCCAGCTCAATTTCGCCAGACCCATCCTGACCAGCAGCTCACTACTTTCATGACATCGCATTCGAACAGCTACACGGGCAAACAGCCTTGTCCACGGACATCATCATAGCCACAAGCTCCTCAAAACCGAAATAGGCTTGAATCACAGGCTTCGTTCCCCGAGCTCCAGGCAGTCCTCCCTCGAGGTGGAGGAGAAACCCAGAACTTGCATGAGCCCCTGCAAGAACAGCCGCTTGTCTCAGAACTCAAGTGCACTCAAATGCTGTTGCTCACTGTGCATATTTCTTGGTGACCAGAGACGGGACGTCGTGATACTCTGGATAGTGAACAGTGGACAGGACTCGAGGAGAAGGGCTGGGCTTCGTAGTTTCCCTGCACACCATCCATACCCTTCCACGGGTGAACCGGAATCCTCTGGGGGCTCTGAGAGCATCTGCTTATGCAAAAAACTCAGGCCCCAAAAGTGTGAACCCAGGTCCGGGGTGAAAGCTGATGGCTTGTGGGCTGCCTTGAGTTCGCTGTTGTCGATGGCGGCGGAGCCGTCTGTGTCATACCTCCCGTTCGGATGCGGCAGTCTAGAGCCTTCACGCGCAATCAAGGTCAACGGACGGCTCACAAGTCAAAGACCTCCTTCAGCTCCTGTTTTTGCTCCTTGATGCAAGCTCCCGGCATCAACCCACTGGTACGACATGACCTGCCCTGGCTCCTGTCGACCTCCTAGCGAGAGCTGCACCTGTCCTCTGTCAGGTCCCGCTGCCGCTTGCCAGATGTGTTATAGCGGTGCCTCAGGTTGTGATGTGCAATGCCCTGTTTAACCAGATACAGTGATGGCACGTGCACAAGCAAAAGCCTCGGGCAAATATTGCTTAACTTCCTCGGCCATGTCTTCTGGCAAATGAGGTACTTGCAGCCTGTCCTGCTGAAACTGCATTTGCGAGCTGTTGTTCCTGATGCCCCAGCTGCAGTACATTGCATCAGATGGTCTTATGCGCAAGCATGACAGCCGTAAACCACGTGCTTGTGACCTGGCTGGAGACCGTCACTACCTTCCGACTTGAGCCACATGCGACAGGTTCGAACAGACAGACCGTTGTGCAGATAGCTGTCGTTTCTCGCACAAACCAGGGCACTCATCACCATCTCCCTGCTTCCTTTACGCGGAGGCACGCGAACACCCAGATCTCACGCGTAAATCGACATCGAGGTTGGCGGGATGACCTGCAGCCGAAGAATGTGTGCGTCCTCATCTTGTGGCCAAGTAATGCCCGTTCATGTCAGCATGATGAGCTTGCCCCAGCACCTTCTGCAATGCTTCGCGATATCGCCTGCCAACTGCTGCATCAAGGAATTGAGTCTACGGACTTTTTCTACCTTCTTCGTCTGACTGGGACAGACTTCTTCTTCCTCCCTGGCCGGGGGTTGTTTTCGCGGAAGGCGCAGCATCTCCCGCGCGAAGCTCGAATGGACCCCTCTTCCCCTTTCCCGTTTCGACAAGCTTGACATGGCCCTGTCCCGGCATTCGGTCAGGCTCCAACCCCCGCCCCCCCGCCGCCCCCCTGTGGCGTGAGGCTAGTACTAAAGGCGCGGCATCAGGCTTCTCTCTCTCCCTCCGGGTAACAAGCCAGGGATGCGGTCTCTGCCAAGAGCTGATCACCTGCTCACTTCATACCGAAAGCAACTTCTTCGAGAATCCGTCCGCTTTCAGTCGATGCCTGAAGCTCGATGAGCAGAGGCACCAAAGCCTGACACAGGAGCCGCCCACGAGACTTACAGATTGGGCACGGCATTCTGATGACAAGGCCTCGTAAGCAAGAAGGCAGCCTTCTGACATGTGAGCACCGTCCTTTGCAGATCGCGAATCTTCGAACTACCACCGCGCAATGAAACTAATCATCAGACTGACACTGAAAGCAAAAACTAATCGAAGACTGCATCGTGGAGTCATATCCCATTGCACAACAGCGCGAATCAGCAAATCGCAAGTACAACAGGAGCACAGAAGACATGAGACACTGTATCAAGTTATTTGGATCCGTCCTGCAGCGCCAGGGCCACGAGGCAGGGCCAGGATCTTGCTTCGCAGCCGCTCAGAAGTGCGGCGGCTAAGCCCTCAGACATCGAGCTCACGAAGGTTGAATTTCGGGTTTTAGGAACACGGTGAAATCGACTCTTTACAGGCTCAAATGGATCGCTCTGGCTTGCATCTCTGCTTGCTGCATGCTTGTCCCCTTCTTCGTTGTTCTCTTCATCTTTATTGCATATTGCGGTCAAGCTTCCGGCGCTCACTCAGACTCTGCCGCTTCCACCAAACTTGCATCTCGACTCTCCGACCGATTTGCGCTTCATTCAACATTGTCATGTAATATTGAGCCATTCGGGTCAGGTGTTGCACTTGCCATGATCTTTTAGGCATCCTATTTCGTAAACGCCCAGTGCCACATCAGCGTGGTTTAAAGCTGGCAACCCCGCAGACATTGGTGCCGTGATGCGTCGCCCGGGCACGATCCGGCTGAGACTGCGTTGTGACAGGCAGATCTTCGGGCAGACGCTCGCGATCGCGACTGCGGCTTTGCATATGAAGAGCCGGGCTCCACTGCACGGAAAGGCAAACCACAAGCCGAGGAGGGCATTTATGTGCGTGAACACGGTGGTCAAGCTGAAGAAACGCCGCGTGCCATTCGAGTGCAACGCAGCGAAGCAGAGCTCCTTGCGCATGGTGGGAGGATGCCACGAATAGCTGTGCAAAATGATGTGATCCATCCAGCCTGGAGGAAAGATGCGCGCCGTGAAACAACTCTCAGCTTCGTCTGTCGCGGAATCAGAAGTAACATCGTGGAGGAAGTCTCCACCGTCTACACCCAGCAGCATTTTTGGACTTCGCCGCCAGCAGCTGAAGGACAGCCGCATGCGACTTATCTTTCTCTTATCTATCTATCCCTATCCCTATCCCTATCCCGTCCCTATCCCTATCAATATCCCTATCGCTATCCCTATCCCTATCCCTGTCCCTATCGTTATCCCTATCCCTATCTATCTATCTATGTATACGTGCATGTGTGCGTGTGTGTATGCATGTATGTATGTATGTATGTATGTATGTATGTATGTATGTGTGTGTGTGTGTATTTATGTATGTGTGTGTGTATGTATGTATGTATGTATGTATGTATGTATGTGTGTGTGTATGTATGTGTGTATGTATGCATGTATGTATGTGTGCATGTATGTGTGCAGGCATGAATGCATGCATGCATGCATGCATGCATGCATGCATGTATATATGTACGTGTGTGTGTGGGTTTGTTTTATCTGTTAGTTGGTAATTGTATGTGTATATATATACACACATATATATATGTATACATATATGTTTGTATGCCTATACATCTTTACATTCACATACTGATGTATCTATATACTTGTACACTTGCATATTTAAGTGTGTTATACACTCCAATACAAAAGCATTCTTAGCTGTTTATATGTCCATAAAAATGTGTATCTACATATATGTCTGTGTATATTTAAAAAAATATATTTTAGATATGTACGTATAGGTACATATACATACCTAAATATCACAAATGCATACCTGTGTTTTCGTCTATGCCTCTACGAATATTTGCACTTATGCGCATGCTCAAGTTTTGTATGTGTGTTTGTATATTGTTTACAGATACTGGTGCTTACTTGTGATTGTGTTTGTATCTATTTCTTTTCTGCTGAGCGTGACTGGTCTCCCGACCCAAGCACATACTGTGCCTTTCACCAAGCATGAAGATTATACAATGGGCAGGAGATCGAATCTTAAAAGCAGCGCAACCGCACCAACATGATCCTGTAGTGACAATACCAAGAGCAATACCAGGAGAAGGCGCGAAGCCTTTTGGCAAAGCCAACTGCTATGCAAACGGAGGTAGCCGCTGTATTGCTGTATTCATTACATCCTGTAGCTGGTTGTTGTTGTCTATGTCGAAGACTGCATGGGGCCCATACAAAAACCTATATGCGTCAATGTAGGTTTCAGTAAGCCAATCGCTTCGGGGTCTGCCAACTCTTCTTTTGATTACAGACCGGGGCACCAGCTTACCAGGAGCAAATACCAGTTGATGTAGCGGATCTGCCGGGCTGGACCGAAGGATATGGCCAAAGAGTCTCAATTTGGTTCTTTTGCATGTGTCTCCGAAGTGCTCGAACTTACAATGATGATCACGTTGGATTTGTTCATACATCTTAGAATTAATCTCTTCTCTGTCTACAAACGTTGATGGCTTGGCAAGAATCCTGCGAAGCATTTTGTTTTGAAAACCATTCAGTTTGGATATTTCCGATGTTGTTAATTGTATACATTCCAAACTATATAGAAGCTTGCTGCGGACTATTGAATTGAATACTTGTATCTTCCATTTTATAGAAGTGTTTGCTTTGTTCCAAAGCAGCCCCATGCGTTTGCATGTTCCGATGCAATCGCCAAGTCTATTTGCAACCTCGGCTTTGTTGTCGAATGTGTCTGACAGAAGAGTTCCTAGATAAGTAGCTGATTTTTGTCGCGGAACCACTCTCCCTGCAACTGACGAAACACGTTGATTAGCAGTAAGGTTGACGCATTTGTCGTAGTTAAGCTTGAGTCCGAAATAGTCTGAATGCCTTTCTATAACGTGCAACAACCGATTTATGCATTGAGTGTTGGCCCCAAAAATCAGGGTATCATCCGCGTATAAGATCTCCGAGAAATATATTCCATCAATAGGTTCCATTTGTCTTCTTGTGCATAATTCGGATTTTATGTCTGCAAAGAGTGCTCCCATCACTAAAGTGAATATATATGGAGATAGAGGACAACCTTGACGTATCCCTGCATATTGAGTGTGCCAATCCTGGTCGTTGTGGGATCGCGATTATCGCCGCCATCCTAGCCTTGCTGTGCCTGTTCCCATGATTTCTCTGCCGGGCGAGTGCATGAGGTGCTCCAGTTGATAGGCGGTTTCTCTGCCCGGGTTCTGCATGCTTTAATCAGCGGTGCACTCTTCTACTTCTGACAGTTTTCAATCGAGGGAGAGGCCTGGGATTTGCTCCGACTATCACACCAGAAACCAGAAAAACACGATCGAGAGAAATCACGCGATTTCAAAAACAAGTACAAGCGAACAGCAAAAACAAAACCCACAAACAGTCGATGCACCATGTGACATTTGCAAGCAAGCAAGCAAGCAAGCAAGCAAGCAAGCAAGCAAGCAAGCCAGCAAGCCAGCAAGCCAGCAAGCCAGCAAGCCAGCAAGCGAGCAAAACAGCAAGCCAGCAAGCCAACAAGCCAGCCAGCAAGTTCAAAAGCACGCAGGCATGCAAGCACGGAAGCACGCAAGCAAGAAAGCCCCCTTCCTTCGCATGTCACGCCTCCACGAAATTCGGGGGAGGCAGTGCCGGAACGGATTCGCTTCCTGGCATGAGATTTCCAGATTTAATCTTCTCCGCTTCACGGCTTCCTGGCTCCCGAGGTAGGTGCCGTTGAAGGCACTGGTCCACAATCCAGCCAGGTAGGGCTCCTGCGTCAGGTGCAGGAGACAGGTCCGGAAAGCCCGTGACTCAGGTGGCACAGAAAGCTTTGCAGTCCTCTGGTCTTCGACGGTCACAGCTGCACCATTCTGCCCGAAGTATGCGGTCCAAGAAAAGAACCTGTACCCAAGGAACATGAGAGTAACAGGAACTCAAATGCAATGAGGTTTTCCGCCTGCGGTCTGCCCTTCAGGGTGGACAGGAGCGTGTCCGCCCAAGCTACTGCGTATTCTCCCGACACCTCACAGGAAAGAGTACTGCCTGTGCCGCATGGCCAGGCAAGGCAAGTGCTTCTTCAAAGCCCCGCATGCGTGTCCAATACTGCGACCACCACACCGTCGGATGCCTTTTTGCAACATGCAGAGGTCACGGCGCAAATTCTCCTTGAACTGCTCGTGCCTTGAAGAATCTCGGTGCCCGTGGAGGAGGCAAAGCCCGAACGGGAGAATCCTCTGCGAACAGCGTCAAAAACCACCACGTGGCAACACGCCGGGCTTGCTCTCATGCTTTGCCTTGCCTCCATGGGCTCCAAGCGCACAGGCCTGGACTCTGGCAGACTCTGGCAGCTCCAGCGCGAACTGTCCAATCGCTTGCACTTCCGCTAGACCCCATGGCACATCAGCAACGTGAACTGACCTGAGCATAGTCTCGCTGCCTTTGCCTCCCAACCTCACGAGCCCATTGAAACCTGTCTCCTTTCTCCTGGCGCAGGCCGCTAGGCCCGTAGGGCTTCTCACATGTCCCTGATGTCTCTGGGGCCGGGGCAAGGGCAGCAAGTCGAACACTTGCAGAGCAAAAGCGCTGCCAGGACCTTGAGAGTGTCTGCCCTGATGCCCTACGCGCACTGACTTGGTCTATGGACCTGACTTGGTCTGTGAACCTGCCGCAACTCAGCAGCGAGCCAGGGCCGCAAACCACCAACGTTTGGCAGGTCAATTCGTGTTCGCCTGTGGCGTCTGCATGTTCAGCTTCCGGCACGACTGTGGGGATGAAGCTGTGACAGCCAGGGCCACGAATAGTGCATCTGAGTCTTAGATTTGATGTGCTCGGCGATTGAAACATGCACGTCAACAAACCCCAAGCCATCCCGAAGCGGTTTGTGCCTGAGAACACGAAGCTGACATCCGGCTGCTCGTCGTCATCATCGGACCTGAATGATTCGGAGCTGGAGCTCTGTAGCTGAGATAGCGCTTCCGGCTCAGCGCATGGCACGCAAGCCTGGATCTGATCCAAGAGTCCATGAATCATGGCCACTGAAGACTGAGACACAACTACACGGCTCTAAGAGCTCGCCTGGTTTCCCTGCCTTTCCTTTGTATCTTTGCTATCAGACATGAGAAACCGAAGAGCTTCTCCCAAGGTTGCACATGTAAAACTCTCCCTGCGCTCCGAACGCTCCAAGGCAACTCACCACCGAAAGCCAGACCGCGTGCAACAGATGCTTATGGGGATGCAGTTGTGAGCAAATCCAGCGCAGCCACCCAGCCAGCCAGCGAGCCAGACAAACAGACAGACAGACAGACAGACAGACAGACATACGGACGGACAGACAGATTTGAGAACAGACACACACACACACATTCACGCATGCATGTTCCGAATGTTCTGATCGGTGAAGTTGTCGAGCCAATACTGTGAAGATCACCATGGTCCATTGCAATGTAGAACTGTACCGGCAGTACAACTTAGATGTGCTTAGCTCATCTCGGCTATCAATGAATGATTGCTGCTACCGGTTCGCCTGGCTCAAACTAATCAAAACACTCAGCTGCAGTCATCACAGCACTCTGCCATGACAATTGCTACAGCATGTGCAGAGGTGCGCCTCTCTCAACGTAGTCTTCCGCCCATTCTTACGCAGTAATCACAAGGGACCATGAACAGCAAGGCTAATCAAGTCTCGCGTGAGATGAGCACCACATGCCGCTGCATATACTGTGGGTCCCAACAAAGACACGACATAGAGTACAGTCCAGTCCAGTCAGTATGGACATGGACACGATAGAGACCAAACGCTTGACAGACTCAGACACACAGCTAGAGAGGTAAATAGCAAAAAGTCACCAGCACTAATGCTTCGAGCCATGTGAGAGATGGGTGCTCTGCCAGACCTTTCACAAGATCTGTCGACACACGCGGAACCTTTTTGTCCCCGCTTTCCCGACTGAGTTGCATGCCGAGGGCACGCAGTTGCGCAGGCAGCTTCCCAGGTAAAACAAGGGCCCGAAGCGCTGACCCAGCCTGGAACCTGCACTGTACGGAGTGCTCGGCGGCTTTGTTCACACTTCGTTAATGCATTCAATCGGCAGACCGCCACAAAGCAGACAGTCACATGCCCAAGCAGCTGCTTCCAACCGCCAGTGGGGCGTGCCAAACACGAGCACTCTTGAAAAAGGCAAGAACACTCGATGGCTCTTGGCCGGCAGAGGACCGTTTACAGAAACTGAATGATTCCGGAAGACGAAACTCTTAATTTCTGCGGAGAATGCGGAGAGCAGTGACGGAACTGCTCGGGTACTGGCCCGCAATGTGCAGAAGCACGTCGTGCTTCCAGGAACCCGCTTGCCGGCCCCTCGTAGGATCAGGCAACGCAGCAGGAACAAAACTCCTGACGGAGCGCTTCGCCTGCTTGCCGGCACTTTGCCTCTGAAGCTCAAGCTACGGAAGGGCTTCGCAGCCTGGACCCCAGGGCCAGGGGGCTGCAGCGTCGGACCGAGACCCCGAACTACAAGGCTGTGCTTATGTTGTTCATAGGCAGGTAAAGAGCATTGCATCACATGCTGCAGGCTCACGCGAGAAGCTGCCATCGAGATCCGACGTGCACCCGCGATGTGCAGAAAGCAGGGAAGTCTGTGGCGAATGGCAGAACTCCTGAGGTACTGAATACTTACAGCCTATAGACTCACATCACGCACCAAAAGCTTCTTCTGAATCGTTGTTGAAACTATTTGGCCCCAAATCTGCGCAGCGGTTCGGGCAGTCTTTGTCCACGCCTTCAGTTGACCGCCACGACCCATGTAAAGTGACCCTACAATGCACACTGCTCTGTCAGGAAGTCAGCCCCGCCGGCCATCCGGCGAAAACGGCGGTGTGTCATGCATTCCTGCCTATCAGTACCACTTCACGAGCAGCGTACAATGGCCTAGGAAGGCTGAGGGACTTACGGGTTGGGTGGTCCTGTACTTTACATACATGCGACAGCCGGCGCAAACCTCTGCGATGGGGGGCACGACAGTCCTTAACCGAGGAGGCCCTTGTCGACCTGTAGTATGTGCTGTTAAGGCCGTCCACGACAAAGATTTACAAAGTGGAGTCGGACGGGGCAGGGCTCAGGGTGGAACGGGCAGCACATCAAAGTGGCCTGTCGTGGCCGCTTCTTTGGGCCAGCGGCAGAGGCAGCGGACCATGGCAGGGCCCAGGGTGCCAGCTCCCCGCGACCCTACACGCCGCTACGAGGTCACTCCAAGCATCTTCAGGCTCAGAGGAGAAACCATTCGGTGCACCTGAGGAAGCCTCTTGAAGGAAGGCCGAGTCTTGGGCGGAGCGCCATCTTGATGGAAGATTCAAAGCACAGCGCCCCACTCGGCGGCCAGGGCGAGCGGCCTTCATGCGATGTCTTCACCAAGGGCATGTGTCCCACTTTCCAGGCCTGCCCCATGAGTGGGAACCTCGAGCCCTCAAGCTGCGTTGCCGCTGGTGGATGACAGCCTGCAAACTCGAAGAGTCTTGCATGTCGAGACAGGGCGCTTACGGCATCTGAGCTGAACAGTTCCACCAGGCAGGAGCTGCGCTGGCTGCGCTGCGCCGGAGGAACCAGGGATTGCAGCACACGCTGCGGTGCAGAGCGCAGATGAGGAAGAGAAAGTACGCCGCCGTCTCATCGCGAGCAGATGCCTCAGCAGCTGAAGTATCCTGAAATATCTGGCCGCAACTAGCTCTTCAGAGCGCGGCTCCCAGTGGAGACAAGTGGGATTTACTAAGCTACAGCCCACAGTGACGAAAGCAACTGAGCAAATCCACACAGTCAAGGTCTAGCACGTTTCGATCGCCTTTCGTGGCAAGGCGCCGCCGCGCCTCGACCCCCGGGCTGATGTGCCAAAGTGGCCGCAGCACAAAAATCGAAGCTTCCACAAAGCTGCTGTGGCCACTTTGGCTGAATGCGGTCACCGAAGTGCTGAAAGCCTCATCCCTGCTAACATGCTGCCCCTAGAATTCCTGCGCCCAGGGCAAAGTCCCCCGGATCTACGGCCTGCGTGGGCGACGGAGGCTGGCACCTCCCAGGCCCATGAGATTGCAAGCATCGTCTCCAGGCAGGAAACGATGCTACTATTTAGACTTCAACCAATGCCAGCGTGATGCCTAGTCTGACAAGCTTGTGATCGCGAGGCTGTGCGACGTCGCCGGAACAGCTTCCAGAAGCCCAGCTGCCGGAGCAGCCCAGGCTAAGGCCCAAGGCCAAAGGCACTGCCTACGGGCCTACCACCCAATTTCCACACGATCTGCTCGGAGACCTTGCACAGCTTCCCTGCGCGTGCCATCGCTGCTCAACTCTTGGCGACACGAAACTCCTGGAGGGTTTCTGCCTTGCTGCCTTGCTTAGTCATTGTAGCTCGTCTGTCGAAGCCAAACACAGGGTAGACGAGGGACGTGTTTCAGGCTGGCAGAGACCTGGCACCAGAAGTGCGGCCATAGCACCAAAAGTTCAGCAAAAAGAAAGTGACCGGCTTCGTTTAAGGGTGTTCGAAGAGCTGCAGCGAGCAGCAGACGCTGGCACTTGACGCCTACATGCACTTGTCTGGCCCTACCTGCACTTGCTGATTAGCAGAGCCCCCATCATCCACAGCCTGCGCGAGAGTCTTAGCCTGTCGGCTCCTCACGTCAACTACCGCCGCGCGCGCTGAGGATGATAGAGCATCGCCTGAAAGACAACGACAAGCCCATCACTCAAATTTCGACCAAAGCTTAAATGATGTCGGTGTTTTGCAAAGGTTCTGAGTCTAGCATGCCGCGGCCCACATGCCTTTCTCGCGTCTGTGGCCGGTCTGACGATGTCACGTGGCCGAGGCTGTGTGACGTTGCCGCCTCCAGAAGCTTTCAGGAGCACCCCAACGGCCCCAGCCCACCGCACCACAGCATCCCGACTCCAAGTGCTCTGAAAGATGTGCTGACTGCCCTTGACTCGGCGTGAGCTCTCTTGGCGGCGGAGTGCTTGTGTTCTTGCGATTCTTATGAATCTCAAGGCTCCCGGCCACCGTCTACAGATCCTTACAAACCTGCTCGCTTGCCTGGATGTGCGCATTGGGGCTCAGCATCAGGTCTCACTCAGGAGGCTTCGCCCTCCCCCGTTGCAATCATGTCCTTGGGAACCCCCTAAGAGGATGGCAATCATTTTACATCGAATGCGTCACATTGGAAGACGACCCGCGTGGCCCTCTGCAATCATTCTTGGGGGCTGGAAATGATTGTGGCATTTCGCGATCATTTAGCCCCCTACCTCGCTTGCAATCATTTCCTAGGAAGCAGTGATGGCTCACGTGCACAAAGGAGCCCTGCAGCTTTGCCCAGTGTTGCGCAGGGCAATTTCAAGGCCACCTTCTGGAAAGTCCACCGCAGCTTGCGGCAACATCCGCTCTGTTGGCTTTGCAGTCTAGACCTCTGCGCACGGTTTCCTCTGACTGGACATGTGCCCGGCCAGGGCCGGCGTCCACTCGCAAGCTGAGGACAGAAGCAATGGTTCTGCAGTGCTGGTGCCGCCAGGGCCAGGGCGGCCAGGGCCAGGGAGAGCATGCGGGAACTCTCTGTTTCCTGCACGGAATGCACAACACTTCTTGGGAAGAGGCGCATGCTGGAGTGCCCGAGTGCCCTCGCGGCCGACCACGGCTGCTGGCTGTGACACTTGCAGGCCTGACGGCGCAGGCTGCGCGCCCGCGCGGAATGCCACAGCAAACTTCGAAGCTTGCGACAGGTTGGCCTCAAAAACTTCAAAGTCTTCATGTTTCCGCAGTCTCTGGACCATCTCCGCAGAAGCAGCCCAACGTGCTGCCGAGACTTGTGCTCGCATGATGTTGGTGCAGACCAGAAAGTGCTAGCAGCTAGCACCGGCGCCGCAGGATCGCCATCCGCCCTGGATCCCTTCGTACAAGGTGAATGCGTCCCAATGCCAAGCTCCGACGACACCGGAGCTTGACTGTACGAGCTACGCACAGCATATCTTGCAGATTTGTGGCGTCTGAATGCGTCTGACGCCT